CTCTCCTGCCAGGTAAGCTGGTGTACCAGGCTCAGTCCCCAGATGAAGGTGCCCTCGTCACTGCTGCCAGGAACTTTGGCTTTGTATTCCGTTCCCGCACATCTGAGACGATCATGGTAGTTGAAATGGGTGAGACCAAAGTCTACCAACTGCTGGCTATTTTGGACTTCAGCAATGTGCGCAAGAGGATGTCTGTTATTGGTAGGTGCCCCTCCTACTCAGTCCTCTCCCTATATTTGTCTTTTATACACATTCACACATTGACTTTCTCTTTTATATACACACAAATGTTTTCTCCTACTCAAATGCCTTCTTAAAGGTACCATGCCTCAAACACAAACACATAGCCATTCCTACTTTCTCCTTCACATATCCTATATATTTTCTCTTTGAGAGCTTGCTACCATATACCTCTTTAGTGTTCCTGGATAGTGGCCTGTCTGAAACCTCAAAGCCAAGATAAGAATAAAGAATAAACCCATAAGAGATAGGGGGAGACAATATAAGGGAAATTCATACTATCATACTCTCAAATAGTTTGAGCCTCAGACTGAAGAGGAAGAGGGTCATTCTTCATTCTTGGTCCTTACTAGGTATGGGCCTCGGTCTGGAACTTGTACTTGGGAAGCTAAATGTGATTCTGCATCAGAGTCTTCCAAGATGACATTGAACCCATAGAAGAACTGGTTGCATAAGGTCTCTTTCCACTCCCACCAGCCTTTACTGACTGCAACATTTATCCTCTGTAACCACTCAATGAGTGCTTATCCCCCAAAAGAATCAGAAACAAATGTCATGGGAACAGCCTCATGCTATCCCTCAGTGGCCCAGACAAGTTCTTGTAACAATGGGCCTATATGGTTACTCTTTTGTTTGCCCTTAGTGAGGACACCTGAAGATCGAGTAATGTTATTCTGCAAGGGTGCAGACACCATTCTCTGTCAGCTGCTCCATCCATCCTGTAGATCCCTCAGAGAAGTGACCATGGAACATTTAGATGTAAGTGTTTAGGTCTCAGGGGAGGGAATCTATGGGTGGTTCTTTGTACATGGATTATGCATCCACATATATTGTGTCCGTGTGTTTCTCTATGGATGTATTTTAGTATCTGTGTCTCTTTAATTGATGGAAGAATAAAGACTACTTCATTGTATGGCATTCCTAACGATCCTAACGACTACATTGCCAACTTCTGTGTCAAGAAGTTAGATGGCACAAAGGCATGATGAGAATTGTATCTGTGGGGACACTTACTACAATCAAAATGGTTCTCTCTGTGATTTCTGGCTCAGGAGGTACCATGGTCAGACCTAGAATTTACTTCAGAATTGGGCCTGCTGGTACAGGAGGCGCTACCTCACCAGCCATGGCAGCTTTGAAGGTATAGAGGAAAAGGAGCCAGGCTTGGGCTATTTAGGGGACTATTGTTTGTTACCATTCTCTGTTATCACACGATTAGACTCCCCAGGGGTACCTTCCCCCTTGCCTATCCCACCATCCTTCCATCCTCTAGTATTTGAGATGGATCTGAAAGAGAATGGCTCCAGCCTTCTGGCACTGGAAAGGAAAACCAAATCTATATTCTCCAAGATTTCTACTCATAAACCTAGTATATAAAGGGTTGAGGGAATAAGAAAGAGATGGGATGGGAGAGGGGCAGATCAGAAAAAAAAATTTTTTTAAGAGGAAATAGATTGAGGAAAATGCTCTTTTATTAAGCCACTTTGGTTTGACCCACATTAACACATAATCAGAAGTCAGAGAACAGATAGTCAATAAGCACATGAAAAGATACTTAGTTTCATTAACTTTTAGGAAAATGCAAATCAAAAACCTCAAGATGCTACTTCACACCACCAGGACAGCTAGATGATCAGATAATAATAAGTAATGGCAAGGTATAGAGAAATTGTAACCTTCATACATTGCCGATGGAAATGTGAAATGATGCAGTCATTCTCATGGACTAAGCCACCCAGGCACCCCATGATGTAGTCATTTTAGAAAACAGTTTGGCAGTTCCTGAAAAAGTTAAGGGTAGAATTATCATATGACCCAGCAATTTCACTCCTAGGTATATTCCCACAAGAAATGAAAATAAACATCCACACAAAAACTTGTACACATAGTTTATAGCAGCATTATCTATAATTGTGAAAAAGTAGCAACAACCCAAATGTCCATCATGAATGGCATGGATGAATAGATAAATATAATGTGGTATATCTAAACAACAAATATTATTCAGTCCCAAAAAGGAACAACATACTGATACATGCAGATGAACCTTGAAAACATTATGTTAAGTGAAAGAAGCTAGTCACAAAAGGCCACATAATGTATAATTTCATATATATGAAATATCCAGAATAAACAAATCTACAGAAACAAGTAGATTAGTGGTTGCCAAGGGCTGGGGGAAAAGAGAATGGGAATGACAGCTAATGGGTACAGGATTTCCTTTGGGAGTGACAAAAATGTTCTGGAATTAGATAGTAAAAGATGCACAACTGTATGAGTGTAATTTTTTTAACCACTGATTTGTATACTTTAAAAAGTATGAATTTTATGATCTATACATTATATTTCAGGTTTTAAAAAAAGTTGGTGGAGTATCCAACATAGGACAGTTCTTATGTCCTATACAGGTTCCCAGTATTTTCTATGGGCTAGTTTGAAAAACTTATCTTTTAACCTTCCAGAACACATGAATTGGGGTATCTTCTCAGAGAGCATTTCCACAGGCTGGCTCCAAAGTGGGTCATAAAACTGTTTCAGATATTTTGACGTGCGTCCTGCTACCCACCTTTACAGACACACATAATGGAGCCTGACTACACTACAATCTGTTAACCACAGATGAGAAACTTGTAAGAGTGAAGCTTATACTCAGAAGTCAAGATTCAAAACCTCTTTTTTTAAAAAAGATTTTATTTATTTATTTGAGAGAGCACAAGCAGGGGGAGGGACAGAGGGAAGGGAGAAGCCGACTCCCCACTGAGTACAGAGCCCAAGAAGGGGCTACATCCCAGGACTCTGGGATTATGACCCAAGCTAAAGGCAGACCCTTAATCGACTGAGCCACCCAGGTGCCCCAAGATTCAAAAACTCTTACAAAAACACAGCTCCGGGCCCTCTAAGACAGGAATCAGCAAATGGCTCATATAAAAACAAGCAACAGTCAGGATTTGACCACCACAATAGAAAAAAAAAAACAAAAACAAAAACACAAGCGGTAAGTAAGAAATAACTTCAATGCAGACTGCTAAATTATTTGTTGAATGAATTAAGGATCTGTCAGCGTGTTAAACCTCGTTTAGTATCCTATGCAAGATCAGTTTCTGCCATATCTCTTCCTTCTAAGAAGTCTTTGACATCTTCTCTCAGGCTTCTCTTTGTAGCTTCTTCTGCCAACAGCACAGAGGTTTAAGATATGGTATTCCAGGGGCGCCTGGGTGGCTCAGTGGTTAAAGCCTCTGCCTTCGGCTCAGGTCATGATCCCAGGGTCCTGGGATCGAGCCTCACATCGGGCTCTCTGCTCAGCAGGGAGCCTGCCTCCTCCTCTCTCTCTCTGCCTGCCTCTCTGCCTACTTGTGATCTGTCTATCAAATAAATTTAAAAAATCTTAAAAAAAAAAAAAAGATATGGTATTCCATACATACATTGTTTTATGCTCATTTCACCTGACAGCTAAAGTCAAACACTCAGGAGTTTCACAGGCAACTAAGAGCAGAATATCAGTATAATAAAATTCTTTTTCTCTTTGCTCTTATAATGCCAAAGTGAATTATTTTGAAGTTTACTATAACAGTGATCATGGAGAATTTTTATTCATGTGCAATTCTCAGGAAATAAAATCTAACTCACCCTCAGTTGGATGTGAGTTCTCCCCTAAACTACCCACACTCTCACCTGGCTCTCCTTATGACGCAGAGTATACTTTGCAAGATAGGATATAATATAGTTTACAAGATAGGATATACTGGTGGCCATAGAGCAAAAAGATGCTAACTCACCCAGAGACCATTTCTGCAGTGCCTCGTCAACACGGCTGGCTGTGGCTAATCAACTGAGTCAGCCAATCAGCTGTAGACTAATATACAAGTGTGTGTGTGCTTTTTGAGGGGCCTGTTGATGCTTGAAGGAAGGCAGGGAAAGAGGAAAATAAAATGAATGTATGGGACACCTGGGTGGCTTAGTCAATTAGGCATCTGCCTTCAGCTCAGGTCATGATCCCTGAGTCCTGATCAGGCTCCCTGGTCGGGGGTGGGGGGGTGAGGGGGAGCCTGCTTTTCCCTCCCCACTCCCCCAGCTTGTGCACTCTCTCTCTCTCAAATAAATAAATAAAATCTTTTTTTTTTAAGATTTTATTTATTCACTTGACAGAATCACAAGTAGGCAGAGAAAGAAAGGAGGAAGCAGGCTCCCTGCTGAGCAGAGAGCCCGATGTGGGGCTCGATTCCAGGACCCTGAGATCATGACCTGAGCCAAAGGCAGAGGCTTAACCCACTGAGTCACCCAGGCGCCCCAATAAAATCTTTTTTTAAAAAATGAACGTATGCTTGTAAAAATAGTAAGTCCTTTGATTATATTTTATAACAACTCCTTTTACTTTAGTATTCTATTCTCATATTACAGACATCATTATCCTCTCTGTAGGCAGTGAATTACTATCCCAATTTTACAACAAAAAAAAATCTAGAAGGCTTAATTTTTCCCAGGGTCACACAGGAAATTATCTAACTACAGGTAAAAGCTAGAACTCTCTTTTCAGAAGTACTTTCAAAACTTTGCCCCCAGTTATGCTGGCACCACCTTTAAGACATTATTCTGAGAAAGCTCAACAGTTGTTTTGTGGTTAGGCTGGGTACCACCAGCCCCATGGTACTAATCATTAAATCCTATTTTGCAGGCAGATGGGCAGTGAGGTCAGTTGGCTTCTTCCTAAACTCAGCCCTCACCCAGCCCAGGCCTACTTAGTGCACACACATGTCTTCCAGGATTTTGCCTTTGAAGGTCTCCGCACCCTCATGGTGGCCTACCGAGAAGTGGATAATGCCTTCTACCAGGCCTGGAGCAAGAAGCACAGTGAAGCCTGCCTGTCTTTGGAAAATCGGGAAGATAAAATGTCAGATGTCTATGGAGAGATGGAAAAAGACTTGATGGTTAGTGTGAAGAAGCCAGGGACAGATAGGGGGCAGCACTGGGGGTGGCCGTCAGCAGACTGAGCAAGGCCTCTAAGAGTGGCTTCCAGCAAATCAATAGGTTCAGGTGCTTTGGATACGGGATACTGGAATCCAGGCTGATTCAGAATGTCCTGGATCTTTGAAATCAATAAATAATGGGGGGGGTGAGGAGATGGAATGCACTATTTGTAAATTTTATCCCAAAGCTACTCACAGAAGCTAAGTAATCTGGGAGAAATGAGGATCTGAATAATGCATAGATTAGATAATCCAGAACTAACTGATGAAAATATTCACTCATTCATTCAACATATTTACTAAGCGCCTCCTATGTGCCAGGAATGTTTTAAGCCCTGAGCATGTAGCAGCAGACAAAAACAGACAAAAATAACATATATAGATGTTAGATAATGAAGTGCTATGGGAGAAAATAAAGCCAGGGAGATAGCTAGGGAATATCAGCATACACATGTATGTTTTGGAAAGGGCAGAGTATAGTTACTATTTTATATAGGGTACTTTGAGCAGAAACCTGAAGAAGGTGGCGAGCCAAGCAGATCTCTGGGGGAATTAGCTTTCCAGACAGAGGGAATGGCATAAGTGAAAGCCCTGAAACAGGAGTAGGCCTAACTTGTTAGTTGAACAGCAAGTCAGCTAGTGGGGCTGATAAAGTATAAGTGAGGAGGAGAGAATAAAGGTCATGAGACAGAGAAGTAGTAGAGTGCCCTCATAAGCCAGCATAAGTACTCACAATGAGATATGGAAAGCCATTGAAGAATTCAATGAAAGAAGTGATGTGATAGTTTAAAAAAAACTTATTTATTTATTTGAGAGAGAGAGAATAAGTATGAGCAGGGGGAGGCGCAGAGGGAGAGGGACAAGCAGACTGCACTGAGTGCAGAGCCAGATGTAGGGCTCAATTCCAGGACCCTGACATCACAACCTGAGTCAAAAAGGAAAAGTTTTTGACCAGACTGACACAGGCTGGCTCTGCTAAAAACAGAAATTTCTGATACCAGTTGGGAAAACAGAAATCCCAGAGGTCATACATCTCCTTCCATCATCAGTTCAGCAGTTAGTAGTTCTAGTCTGTCCTTCTGGAGGCCTAAAAGAAATCAGCCAATTGTTTGTCCATCTGTCAGTTCCTCAGACTGAGTCCTGGTGCCCATCCCTCTGGTCAACACTGGAAAGCCAGGAAGTGTGCTCTGAAGCAAAAGAGCAGTGAAAGTGTGTTGAGAAACAGATGGTTTAGAAGTGGCACACAGCTTCATGTATGACTTGGGCAAGTCTTTTCCCTCTTTGATCCCTGACATTCTGTGTCTCAATTTGATTTATGTGGTTGAAAGCTGCATCTGTTGTGAGGCAGAGGGTGCTGAATTTTATAACATTTGGATCCTTATGTCAGGACAGAGCCAGCTTGCTAACGAGGATGATGAGGTGCCAGTTGAGTTGTTGGGTAGCACTAAATGCTGTGACATTCTCCCTCCTTCTCACTCACTGTTCTCTCTGTCCAAAGCTGTTAGGGGCCACAGCCATAGAAGACAAGCTCCAGGATGGTGTACCTGAGACAATCACCATCCTGAACAAAGCCAAAATTAAGATATGGGTCTTAACTGGAGATAAGCAAGGTAAAGGGGAGCTCCTCACTTCACCAGTTCTCTTCCCTGTCCACCTTAGCCATTTCTTTTATTTTGCATTTTCTTTTTATCTTAGCCATTTATTTGACAAATACCTTATAGTCCAGATCAAGTCCTTACAGGACACCTTCACTCCTAATTTTGTACACAGTTTTCTAAGAGTATATTTTATGCTGGATCCTGTGCTAGGCAGTGAGGACACGGAGATGATTCAGTCAGACATGACCCCTATCATCCAGGAACCTACAAGCTAAAAACTTTGGAATTACCTTGGAATATACCCTCTCTGTTGTCCCAAAGATTCATTGTCTCACCATGTCCCACCAAGGGTTCTGAAGATCCCCTTTTGACTGTGCCACCACCGTAGTTCAGCCTTTGTCCCCTTTGATTGTACGTCTACAAAAAAACTTCTGATCTCTGTCTCTTGTCCTTATTGATTTCAGTATAGCCTATATACAACCATCAGCTTGATCTTACTAAAATATACTACTTTTATATGCTATTCCTCTGCTCAGATACCTTCAGAAACTCTATGTAGTAGAGTCAGACTCCACTGTACAGCCTTCAAGATCTTGATAATCTGTTGCTACCTACATATACTTATCTCCATCCTGATGTGACCATTATTTTTAGTATGTCCCAAACAATCCAGTTCCTACTCTAGGGCCTCTGTTTGGGTTGTTTCCCTGTTTGAAATGGTTTTTTTTCTGACCCCTAAATAAGTCTTACTCGTCCTTCAAAGTCTTTTCCCAAGAAAGTTTCTATGACATTACAATCTCTCCTCTGAATTTTTTTTTAAAGATTTTATTTATTTATTTGACAGAGAGAGAGATCACAAGTAGGCAGAGAGTCAGGCAGAGAGAGAGGGGGAAGCAGGCTCCCCGTTGAGCAGAGAGCCCGATCCGGGGCTCAATCCCAGGACACTGAGATCATGACCTGAGCCCAAGGCAGCGGCTTAATCCACTGAGCCACCCAGGCATCCCTCTCCTCTGAATTTTGATAACATTGCAGCGAGGGCTCGGGATTAAATTTTCGTAAATTGTTTTCCTTAGTATGAATTTATTCCAAATTCCAGAGTTCTTGATGTAAAGACCACAACCAAAACAGTTCCCCATAAACTCTGGCATAAAAGCAGGCATAGGGAAATACATCCTGTTTGGAAAAGTGGATGCAGACTGGAATTGTTTTAGGAAATAAGGGAAGGCCCCGTTGGAAGGCTAAGCCAGAATGGTGCTGGCTTCAGCGGCACATATGTGAAAATTGGAATAAAATAGAGAAGGTTAGCATGGCCCCTGCACAAGAATGACAGGCAAATTCATGAAGTGTTCCTTGTTAAAAAATGAAAGAAAAAGAAAGACTAAGCCAGAATGATCCTAGTTATTGATAAGTAACTCACAAGTCTGTACTAGGCTGAGTGTCTCCTGTGTGTTTGAATATGGTCTCCACTAACTCATGAAAAATATACTTTGACTGCCTCCATGGCAAATGTGGACAAATGGGCTCTGCTGCCCACCATTAGTGCTTATGTACATATATACTTTTGTAAAGACCCTGTCCCAGCCAAAATGTTGCCAGTGTTCCCCCCTTCCCTGCAGAGACTGCTGTGAACATTGCCTATGCCTGTAACATATTTGAGGAAGAAATGGATGGAATATTCATTATGGAAGGCAAGAATGATGAGACTGTTCGGCAAGAACTCAGGTACAGATGGGAGAACTGCCACAGCTCTTAACTTAGTATGATTCCCACACTGTCAGAAGGAACAAAGAAGATACGGAGAAGAGGGGAAAAAAAAAAACCTAAAATACTTGAGATAATTTTGTGAAGAAGCTTTAGGGCTCAAGGAGTTGGAGAAGTGTGGTGTGTGGATGGTCAGGGACCTGAGACAATGGCAGTTCTCGGGAGGCAGTTGAGTTTGGCTGGTGCTTTATAGAGGCTATGTACCTACTTTGCCCACTTTCATTCTAGGACACTTTCACTTTCCTAAGCTCTGGGGCTTTCAGTCAGACATTAACCACTACTCTTGGCTTTCAGGTTGGCAAGGAACAAGATGAAACCTGAGTCTCTACTGGAATCAGACCCAGTAAACACCTACCTGAACACGAAGCCCCAAATGCCCTTCAGAATACCTGAGGAGGTGCCCAATGGCAACTATGGCTTGATCATCAATGGCTACAGTCTGGTGGGCAACACAGAGCTACAACTCTATTCTCTTCTCCCAAGGAATTTTTTTTCCTAGGTCCAGCCTGCTTCAGGGAAATTTTAAGACCCCTTCTCTAGTTCACGAGTCACCTTTTCCCCCTCTCTTCTGGTGCTCTTTCCTAACAGACACCTTTCCCTATCTTTCTCTAGGCAGGAATAATGAGGAAAGAGAAGCCAAGGACATGTTCCTTCCTTATCCAATTTCTTTACTACTTATGCGGCTTATCAGTTAGAGGAAGTGGGGAGCAAACAGAACCAGGTCCTCTAAAAAGTCGCTTGGCCTTTATAGCCCAGTTAACTGATTTGACCCAGTGAGAAAGGCTGACCAGTTTCCCATTGGAGGCTGGGTCAGATGTGAGGATGCCTAAAAGTGACTTGGGGACTTAGCCTCCCTCAGGAGTGGAGCACCTGGAAGCCACTATGCCTGACTTTGTAGTACAGGAGAGTATGGCTACGGGGAAGGGCCTAGGAAGATCTTGTTCTGAGAGCCTTTTTGGGCAACCTGAAATGTGGGTGTGTCCTGGTACTGCAGGCCTATGCTCTAGAAGGGAACCTGGAGTTGGAACTGCTGCGAACAGTGTGCATGTGCAAGGGAGTGATCTGCTGCCGGATGACACCGCTTCAGAAGGCCCAGGTGGTAGAGCTGATGAAGAGGTACAAGCAGGTGGTGACACTGGCCATCGGGGATGGGGCCAATGACGTCAGCATGATCAAAGGCATGTGAGGGACGGGGGACCATAACCTCCAACCAAGGGCTTGCCCTTTCCTTCCTCCATGGGCAAAAACCAACCTGGGTGGCACTGTGTTTTGGATTCATACTCCTGCATATCATATATTTGTACATTTATAATGTTTTGCAACTTCATTCATGCTCCTCTATACCTGCATTCCCACTTATTTACACATGCATACATCAGTCCATATGCAGACATGCACACATTTAACTTCATGCACTTAACACATGTATACACAAATATGCCTGGCTTCCATAAGAACATATGCATATATTCACAGAATAGGCCATGGAACTACCATACCATCTTTCCAAGGTGGCATCAAAGCCTACAGAAAGAACCCCTGGGCAAGAGTCATAGTCTGTTCCCTTTTTTGAAAGCTGTATGCCTGAGCAATGTTAAGCAGAAGACAAGACTGCTCAACCAGGGCATTAGCTATGAAGCACAAAGTAGGGATTTCTTCTTCCCCGAGGCAGTGTTCATTAGAACTTGTCCTGACTCACCTGGCTGGAGAAGAATAGCAGACTTACTGATGCTTTGAACCAATAGAAGCAAATGGCTGAAACTTGTTTTAATTTCAGCTGAGTGTTGTTAGCTTCCAGCAACTTGTGGTTCTGTCAAATATGGACAACATCTAGAGGTCCTCTAGCCCAACTACTCTCCCCATCCAGGAAACACTAGCAGACATTCTAGCCATGGCTTTAATACCAGGAAGTGTTCTTGATAGCTTCCTCACTTTCTAGATTTTCTCTGGTTTTTAGGGCCTTAGAAATTTCAACTATTCCATTAAGCAATGCAATAGGTATATACCAGAAGATGAATGAATTTACCCTACACTACAAGAGACTAATTAAAACTTTTAGGAACTTTGGTCTTATTTTCCATCAAGTGTAATCCTTGTTTTATCTAGAAAAAGTCATGTTAGGCCTCTTGAAGAACTTGCTTCTCACTAACAAAGTAGGTACATCATTTATTTCCTCCTAACAGATGGATTTTAGCTCTAGATAAACTTTGGTAATTAAATATTGTATTAGATTGACATCCATCCTGCATCTTTAATTGATGTAAGTGGCTTCGAGAGATAACAAGAAATTTTTACCTCAGCATCTGGACAGCAGGAAAGACCCTAGATGGCTATAGTAGGTACAAAGACCATCTAGGAGAGCTTTCTAGTACAAGCCATGCCAGGCATTCCTGAGTGTTTTCCAATGTAAAATAAGGTGTTTATACAACATGATCTCAGCCTTCTTTTACACTTCCCAACCTGGGAGCCCAGCAGACAAGCTTTGTGGTTGAGAAGCTTATGGGATTTCTTTGCAGCTGCCCACATTGGGGTTGGCATCACTGGCCAGGAGGGAATGCAGGCCATGCTCAACAGTGACTACGCCATCTCCCAGTTCCGCTATCTTCAGCGTCTACTCTTGGTCCATGGCCGATGGTCCTACAATCGCATGTGCAAGTTTCTCAGCTACTTCTTTTACAAAAACTTTGCCTTCACCCTGATGCACTTCTGGTATGCCTTCTTCAGCGGGTTCTCTGCACAGGTAGGAGATCTGGTGACATTCCCCACTCTGGTCAGCTGGGTCTTTTCTACTCACCCCCACTTCAGCCATCTCAGACCCTTTCTTTTCTAGAGACCTTGCCATCCATCCATAAAGCTTCTCACATGGGGGCACTTGGGTTGCTCATTCAGTTAAGCATGAAGGTCCTCAACCATGCTGATCCCATCTAACCTTATATTTAACCTTAGATTTCCAAACCCTAACTTTTCTGGCTTGGCTTTGACTTGGACTTGATTCCTATCTCCAAAACTCTCCATAAGATATTTTCACCTTTTACCTGACATGGAGACCTAGTTTCCAAACAGATAGTATGTGGAAATTCTTGGATCTGGTAGTTTTTTTAGTATCCAAAGCAATCTTTATGGAACAGACTAAGCCTCAAGGGGCCTCTGAGTCTTGCCAGACAGGTTAGTTATGGTGTTCACCTATAGCCCCATTTCATAACACAGCTTCCCTTACTGGGTGCTTCCCCACCCTGACACCCCTTCTCCGTGCCCCAAACATATACTGTTGTTGCTCTAATGAATTAATTCCACATTTGAGTATAAAATCTCCCCCACAGTAATGGAAAGAAGTAGGACCTGGATTTTTATATTCTATGAGGAATCCTTTTTCCTATGAGAAGTTTTTCAGGGTTCTCACATTCCTAAGAAAAACAACCTCAGGAATTATTATCTTGGGAAATCTCTACTACCATTGTTGCCTTGGGCTCTGGGGAAACAGATTGTTCAGCAGAAAGTAATAGACTTGTATACCCCCAATGGTGTAACAAAGTCATTCATATGTGTGTGTTTTGCTGACCTCTTGTGGCTAGTAAAGGAGCCCTCTCTGGGCCCCAAGGATGGAGCACCCAGCTAGGAAAGGGTTACTGAGTCTATTCTACTTACCACTGTTAGAAAGTATCCAGTGTTGTAGAAGCTACTGAATGTCATAAATCAGATTAAAGAGCCCAGAGGCTTACATGCCTGAAAGTTCAGGGGTACAGCTAGCATTCCCTAGCAGGCACTCTGGATCTTTTCTGTGCATGGATGGGCAGTGCAGGTCATGGTAAGGTTGGTCCAAATCAGCCTTGTAGGGTTGGCCACAAACAAGCTTGATGTGGCCTTGCCCCAGCCTGGGACACAGAATTCTGACTTCTGTAGGACCAAACAGAGATGGGGGTCAGCCTTCTCTGTCAGATTTCTGAAATCCAAATCCTGCCCTAGGTTAGTGTAGTGGTGGGTAGGTGGGGACCAGAAGGGACTCTTGAACCTGGGAGGTGGAGCTGGGACTTTGGGAAACAGAGGAATCTAAGAAATCTCCTTGGTATTCTCTTAGACAGTTTATGATACCTGGTTTATCACTTTCTACAACCTGGTCTACACCTCCCTCCCTGTCCTGAGCTTGAGTCTGTTTGACCAGGTAAGACCAGCGGCAAGCCTCTTAGTCAGGACTAAAGCCCCTGGGCCCTTGAGGAGTATTCCCAAGAGTGGGAAGGACAAGAGCTGAGTTCTACAAAGTCAGTTGTAAATGGAATAATTTCTAGAGCAAGGAAGGGAGCTTATCACCTGGAGAGGCATCATGGGATAAAGTAAAGAATCTTCCTCCACAGAGAATAATCATCAGTTTTAGAAATCCAAGTTTTCTGTGTTAATTTTATTTTTGTAGAGAGAAACATAGTAATTGTGCTTTATAGTAAATTGAGTGTGTATAAAAGGTAGTGAAAGGAAATAGAGTTATTAGGGCAAGACTAGGTAAAACAAGGAGCTTCAAGAAGTGAGAGACACATACAGAGATAAAGCAAGCCAATGCAGGATTTGGCAGGGTGGCCTAGTGAGAGTCCTGAAGGCCAAGCATGGGAATGTGAGTATGATATTTTGAGTCCTAAGGAGTCATCCTAGGGGATATCATCTGTCCCTGTCAGAAATTTCCTGGGCATTGGGGGGTCCTAGTATCATACCTCTCTTTCCTCTTCTGTCCCAACTTCCTGTCTTGGGCACATTGAATAGAAAAGAAGCCTCCAAAGAGGAATAAAATAGCGGAAAGAGGACACCATGGCATCATGGTTTCCTGCTCTCCATCAGGGTAGGAATTCAAATTCTCCACAAGGTAGCGGTTAGCCACAGAGCAACAAGAGGGATGAGTTGTGTCCAATGAAGCTTCAGTTGACTAATTCTAAGGATCCACAACCTCTCAAAAACAAGCTGCAAGCTTTGTTATCCAAAGTTTCTGGTTTAGGAGATGAAGATGATCCAGTGGCATTCACACAGAGAATACTGTCACCTGAGTTCACCATTAGCTATGGAAATGGGAAGAGCATTACAGAACATGGATACCTCCATGTGACTAGCTGGTCCCCATTGGCTTCCCCCTCTCCTTTTATTGGCTTTTGACACAAAAATTACTCAACTAAAGGAACACTTAAAATTCGGGCCTCATGTACCAACTGCCCCCCATCCTAAGCTCCCATCCTCCCTTCCAGCTACCCCCAACCCTAGTTACTCCCCATCTCCCCTCTCCTAACTGCTTCCAGGTCCTTACCACCACCTTGACCTTCTCCTAGCTTTCTTCCACCGCCTAGATCCTTTTCTAGAGTGTAGGACTTCAGGAAGGGTTTATGGTCACTGCTCTGTTCTCTGGTTCCACTTCTCAAGTAATCCATGAGGAAGTTCCTAGGCAGGCTGTCAGCAGATGCAGTGAGGGGAGAAACTTCTACTCCGATGGAGATGGGAACTTCTATAGAGAGACCCTGAACTTTCCTCCTTACCCTCTGGTACTTCCAGGACGTGAATGAAACATGGAGTCTACGCTTCCCAGAGCTGTATGACCCAGGCCAGCACAACCTCTATTTCAACAAGAAGGAGTTTGTGAAGTGTTTAGTGCGTGGGATCTATAGTTCCTTCGTGCTGTTCTTTATCCCTATGAGGACCATTCACAACTCAATGGACAGTGATGGGAAAGAGATCTCTGACTACCAGTCCTTCTCCCTGATAGTGCAGACTGCTTTGCTCTGCGTGGTCACAGTGCAGGTGTGGCTGGGGGAGGAGAGGAAGGGGTGGTGGAGGAGGAGTGGGTGGGGAGCCTGTCTGGAAGAAAGGGAAAGAAGGAGGGAGGGAAAGTGGGAAGGGATATCCTCCACTATGGACTGGAGAAGGGAGGTGGCTGATATGTCCCAGGTTGTACAGTATTGCACATAAAAGAGTGCTTTTCAGATTGCCCTGGACACAACCTACTGGACGTTGATAAGCCACATCTTCACCTGGGGTAGCCTGGGTTTCTACTTTTGCATCTTATTCCTCCTGTACAGTGATGGCTTGTGCCTAATGTTCCCCAACGTCTTCCAATTCCTAGGTAAGGCTATGCTCACTCAGTGTGTGGCAAGTAGGTGGAGGGTAGGGTTGGGAAGTGTGAACAAAGTATATTTGTTTAATAAAGGTTCACTGACCAGGCATTACTATGTACTAGGCTTAGTGGATATAGATAGGAATAAGACATGGCCTCTGCCCCAGAAGGACTCAAAATCTAGCCAGGGGAATACTTTACCCTATTAGATTTTCTAAGATATTTTCAAATTTCTTATCTAACTTAATCTTTGCAAGATCCTATGAGGTAGAAATGGCAAGAATTATTAGCACCATTTTAGAGACTAAAGGTTTTTAAAAATTAAATTACTCAAATCTAGCTCTCCTGCTTCCCAGTCCAGTATCCTTTATACTGTGGTGTACTGCCTTATTGTCTCCCATATTAGTTTCCCTACCTTTCATTCTACTTTGATGGGAACAAAATACAGTGAGAGTAGATAATAGATGTAGCTGCTTCTCACCTCTCATCAAGCCACTCATTTTTCCTCTCCAAAAACCTGTATCCCATTTTTGTGTCCAGGCCAGTGTTCCAGGATTCCTATATCCTGCCCCCACTCTCTTTAGAGGGAGATGAAGGCATGTGAATTCACAGTGACTTTGGCTTTCCAAAGGACCTCACTGTAATTCTTCTGCATTTATATTATTAGGAAATTTAATGGTCTCCAAACCAGTAACTTCCTTTTTTGGAATGGAGAGTTATCTAAGTTCTGGCTGACAGTCCCCTTCCTCTAGGCTCTGGTTCAGCCTCCCTCCTGCACCTCATTGTTTACAGGTGTGGCCAGGAACACTCTGAACCTGCCACAAATGTGGCTGATTATTATCCTCAGCGTGGTTCTCTGTATTTTGCCTGTGATTGGGTACCGATTTCTCAAACCATTGTTCTGGCCTGCCGACGTGGACAAGGTGAGTGGAACAAGGAATCTACCCAGATATAATTCATGGTCCTCTCTGCCTTTGCCTCGGTGGATAAAAACCCTGTCCTCCATGCTCTGACTATAGATTATGAACAGAATTCATCTTTGGACAAGACATCCACTGCTACCCCCTACCCAGACCAAACTGAGACACACAAGGCCTCGACGTTCTGCCTATGCATTCTCCCACAAACAGGGCTTTGGGGCCCTCATCACTTCAGGCAAAACAATGAAGGACAAGGTATTCAAGAAAAACAGCTTTCCTTTTAAAAAGTAAAGGCCCTTAGGGAAATCCCAAAGGAATCAGTCATTGCTCTTCCTCCCTTGTATCCACACAAATTAGTAAGGATGGATTAGAGCCCCAGGGAAACTAGCATAAACCTGCCATTCTGCTCTCACTCTAGGGGCTCAGCCTCTTCATTCCCTAGAAGGTTGTGGCCAGGTAAGGCAAGGAAAGCTAAAGAAAGGACCTCCAGATATCTGTCAGAGTTGCAGCGGTTCAAGAAAAAGTGACGTCAGGCTTCCCTTCCACCAACCCTTCCAAGTTTTAATCCACACAAGCAACTATGGAAGTGGTGAGTGAAGAGGGGCAACATAAGAAAGGGGAAAAATATAGATAGATAGATACATATATATCTCCTAAGAATCTTACTTTGGGTCCTGTTTCCCATACCCAGAGCAACTGTAAACATTGCCAGGGCTCCACACAAGTATATCTCACCAGATACCTTTCTCAGGTTCATCTGGGGAATTCAGGGTAAGTCTTTTGCTAGCCCTGGGTCTCAAAAGGAGGAAGCAGCTATGAGAAGTTGGTCATAAAAAGCTGAAGGAGAGTTTATGGACCAAAGAGAAAAAAAAGGGGGGTGGGGTGGGGAGCTGGTTCCTGCCTTGATAAGACAGCTCAAGATTTCACCTTCTTCCCCTCTCTTTGACCCCTTTTACCCAAGAACTGACACCTTTTCAGGCTTCAGAACTGGGAGAAGGAGACTGCTGGGGATGTTTAAAAATCCTTTCTTGAGGGGGTATAAGCCACAATTGATGAACATTTGTCTTCATTCCATAAAATTACTTTGAGAAGAAATTGTATGTACTTGGGAAATTGTTTCTGAGAAGTTTATGGAGTAATAAATTGCTTATTTTGGAGTGGAGAGATGTGTATGATCTGTTGGATACCAGTGACAGTAACATCCAAGCAGTATCATTGGCCCCACTGCCCTATCCACCCCCTTTCTCTCCTTTTGCAGTTCCATTTCACTTTTCTGTCCTTTGTTGCTAAACTCTATCTTGACCTCAATATGACCACATCCTTTGACCACGGAGCTTTATCCCCTTTACACACCTTAGTACTAGGTTGAGTGACTTCATCCAGACTTCGTTTATCAACAGAAAGAAGATTCTAAACTATCTTAGATCTTTCTTAGAACCAGATCCATTTATTAAACTGATTCTGAAATCCTTCATTTAGTTGAATCCTAGGAAATTCACACTCAGTCCACCAACATGTATTAATCATTTTCCCCCAAAACTTCACCCAGGATGCTGCCACCATGATTCCAGTCACCCAAGGCAGTGATGGAAATCATTCCACACTCCTCCTCTAGTCTGATGTCTATTAATAGGTCATCAAGAAATGTAAACTCTGGGGTGCCAGGATGGCTCAATCGTTAAGCATCTGCCTTCAGCTCAGGTCATGATCCAGGATCCTGTGATCAAGCCCCATGTCAGGCTCCCCACTCAGTGGGAAGCCTGCTTCTCCCTCTCCCACTCACCTTGCTTGTGTTCCTTCTCTGGCTGTGTCTCTCTATGTCAAATAAATAAATAAAATCTTTAAAAAAAAAAAGAAATGTAAACTTTGCCTCTTTATTATGTCTTGTTTTCAGTTCCCTCCATCATTACTACTCTTGTTCAGACTTCGATCATCTTTCATCTGAATTATTGCATAAAGTCTCCCAACTCACATTCCTTGTTTTCCCCTATCTAAAGCATCCCACCAATACTACTTCCAGAGTAATATTTATAAATACCAAACTTGATGGGCGCCTGCGTGGCTCAGTGGGTTAAAGCCTCTGCCTTTGGCTCAGGTCCTGATCCCAGAGTCCTGGGATCCAGCCCTGTGGCCGCTGACTCTCTGCTCAGCAGGGAGCCTGCTTCCCTTCCTCTCTCTCTCTCTCTCTCTCTGCCTGCCTCTCTGCCTACTTGTGATCTCTGTCTGTCAAATAAATAAATAAAATCTTTAAATAAATAAATAAATAGCAAACTTGATCATGTCAAACCCCGACTTTGTACCCCTTAGTGGCTTTCTGTGCCTTCTAGATAAAGTTAAAATTTGGACATTTTATTATTGGGCCCTCTCTAGCCTTGCCTTCTACTACTCCCCCATCTGTATTCACTCCAGCCATGCCACATCTGGTCTTCATGTCATCAAACATGTTATTCTCATATCCTAAAATGTTTTCCCTCACTCCCTTCTTCGTGTAGCAAAGTCCTAGGCACCCTTCAAAACAATAGTTGGAACTAGATAGAGGTGATGGTTGAAAACCATTATGAACGTACTAAATGCCACTGAATTGTGTACTTTGAAATGGTGAATTGTATGTTATGTGCATTTCCCCTCAATTTTTTTTAAAGATTTTCAAAAATTTATTTATTTGACAGAGATCACAAGTAGGCAGAGAGGCAGGCAGAGGGAGAGAGGGGGAAGCAGGCTCCTTGCTGAGCAGAGAGCCCGATGCGGGGCTCAATCCCAGAACCCTGGGATCATGACCTGAGTCAAAGGCAGAGGCTTTAACCCACTGAGCCATCCAGGCACCTCTCAATTTTTTTTTTAAGATTTTATTTACTTATTTGACAGAGAGAGATCACAAGTAGGCAGAGAGGCAGGCAGAGGGAGAGAGGGGGAAGCAGGCTCCCTGCCGAGCAGAGAGCCCAATGTGGGACTCGATCCCAGGAACCTGAGATCATGACCTGAGCCAAAGGCAGGGGCTTAACCCACTTAGCCACCCAGGCACCTGATTTTTTTTTTTTTTTTGAAAGATCAGGTTAGGCAGTCTCTTCCAAAAGCTTCCCCGAATTCCCTCAGTGTGACTTATATACCTGTCCTATGTATTTACTTGCTTCCCTGTTAATAACTCTCTCAGTGACACTTTATCACAGGGCATTGGAATCATTGATATACTTGTCTATTCACAGCATATAATAGGACTTCAATAAATGTCTGTCAAAGAATGAACAAATGAAACATATGTGCTTCTCTGCCTGGTTTTCTTCTTTCCTGAACAGCATCACCACCCACTGGCTCAAATCAGAAACCTAAGGCCTTTCTGGACTCCTCCCTTTCCTTCTTCTAATCCTGTCCATTCTTTTTTTTTTTTTTTTAGATTTTATTTATTTATTTGACAGAGATCACAAGTAGGCAGAGGCAGGTGGGGTGGGAGGGAAGCAGGCTCCCCGCTGAGCAGAGAGCCCCATGTGGGGCTCGATTCCAGGACCTTGGGATCATGACTGGAGCCAAAGGCAGAGGCTTTAACCCACTGAACCACCCAGGCGCCCAATCCTGTCCATTCTTTACCAAGTTACATATACTCTATGCTAGAAATGTCTTCAAATCTCTCCCTTACTATTCATCCCCAGCCCCATTACTTTCATCATTTCTTGTCTAGATTAGAGAACCTCTGCCTCTTTGGTCTCCCTGCCTCTGACTCTACTTCTTTCCAATCCTTTATCCATACCGCAGAGAATGATCTTTCAAAATACAAATGAGGTCTTGTCATTTACCAGTTTAAAATCCTTTAATGACTCATTGTAGCTTTCCTACCTGGGTGCTTCCACTTCTCCCGCTTTGTCACTACTTTCTGTTGCATATATTCTCATTTCTGCCATATCAAACTATTTGTAACTCCTCACAAAGTTTCCATCGTCTTCAGAAACCTCTATGCTTTGGATCTTTGTATTCTCTCCTCTTAAAATAAACTTCTCTCCCTAGTCTAGTGAATGTCTAACTGCTCTTCACTCTCAGCTTTGGTCACTTCCTCTGGGAGCCTTCACTGACACCCAGCCTCCTATTCTGAGTTGGGTACCTCTTCCTTGCACCAGACCTTCCTTATATTAGACCACCTCGTACATTTCTCTTATTTTCAATTCCCAAGATTTGAATGTATTATCACTCCCATGCCTATTTTAGTTGTGATTTACTTCTCTGTCTTCTCTACTAGGCCATGGTGCTCTCCTTGAGGACAAGAACTTTGTTCCATTATTGTATTAGCATTTAGATTGTTAATATTTTTTAGTGAATGAGTAAATTAATAAAATTTCCTACTTTTCATTTGTCCTAAACTTGCCTCTTACCCTGTCCTTTTTTTTTTTTAGATTTTATTTTTATTTATTTATTTGAGAGAGAGAGAATGAGAGAGAGAACATGAGAGGGGAGAGGTCAGAGGGAGAAGCAGACTCCCTGCTGAGCAGGGAGCCGGAGGTAGGACTTGATCCTGGAACTCCAGGATCATGACCTGAGCTAAAGGCAGTCGCCCCACAAGCTGAGCCACCCAGGAACCCCTTACCCCGTCCTTTCAAAATGAATCTTATCCTTTGGTATCTAGTGCTTAGTTATACTTTAGGGGTCTCTTTTTATGAAACATGGCCACTCATGGTCTGGTCTCCCTTATAAGGCATTTGTAAGAAAATAATTTGGACCTAAATTATCCTCCAATGTTCCTGAACAATCAGCATCCTCTCCCAGTGGTTTATGTGCATCTTGGGAGATATGAGTCTCCATCTCTGCTGAGGATCCAAGATAGCACATGCCATATTGCACACTGAGGGGTGAGATGGCCATGCAAGACTTGGAAAAGGGAGTGTGAAAAACAATTTTTATGTGCAATTTTTAATCACCTCACCCACCTTGAGAAAAGGTCCAGAGATTCAGTCATTGATAAGGGATCTATGGAGAGAATTGCTAGTGGGCTTTGAGTCTACCCTCAGTTCAGTTCAAGTTGGGAGGGTTTTTAAGGAAATTATTTGGAGAGGCTGATATGATAAATGTGTTTGGGGGATACAGAGAATGCACACCTAACTCATACCTGGAAAATCTAAAAAGCAGGAGAACAATCAGCTATCTGTTTTATGGCAGAGCTAGAAGCGGTGGCTGCTGGTGGCTGCAGTGAGATTGGCCTACACTCCCTACACTGTGTTTTTCAGGACAAAGGGATGAATGGAAACTCCCCATAGACCACCTACTTATGGGCCATCTAACAGACCTAGTTAGCTAGTTTCTTTATTCTGTCAGAGAGAGCATCTGAAAAGCTGAGGAGATCTCAGCAGAAGGAAGCAATAGATCTGCTGTCAAATGCTTAGAGATTTCTGATTAGATAAAAGGTCACCGGAGGGTGGGATTGATTGCCTGTGAAGGGGCATGAGGTAAATTTGCTGTATCTAGATTTTGGAAGTGTTTACATGGGTGTATATATTTGTCAAAACTCATCAAACTGTACACTTAGTATCTGTGAATTTTATTGTATGTAAATTATACTTCAATAAAGTTGCTTTTTAATTCTTAGAGTTTTGGGGTTTTTTTTTTAAAGATTCATGTATTTATTTTAGAGGGAGAGTTAAGTACAAGCAGGGGGATGGGCAGAGGGAGAGAGGCAGACTACCCCCCTGATGTGGAGTGCAACAATCCCATGATCCTAAGATCATGACCTGAGCAGAAACCAATACTCTGACCCTCAACCAATTGAGCCACCCAGGAACCCCTAATTCTTTGAGATTTGTAAAGGAGTCATAAGTGACCAACTAGAGCTGAATTCACCCACGTTAAAGTAACTAACGTTAAAGTAGGTATAGGAGAAATATCTCCACCAATAGAGAGGGTCTGTCTGAAGAACCTACAAAAGGGCTCCTTGAGAAAGAGTCAGTTTTAGACACCCGCCAAGCACTAAAACTAGTTTGTGGTAGCATTAGTCAAGGAAAAAACCTTCCTCATCTCTTCCCCCTCCACCCTGCTCAAACTCTGAAGAAAGAAGGTTAGCAAGTGGGGGAAGGGAGAAAAAACAGACATCTACTCATCTTCACAACTTCTCCCAAATAAACATGGGCATCTATAGTAGGGCCAAGCTCAGAGACAGGAAAAAAAACGTAATTTTAAAGTCTGAAGTTTAAAAAACTATTTCATCATCTGAACATTTTAATTATTAAAGTAAAACAAATTGGTAAGTACTGGTTGCTACCTGAAAAATGACCAGAAAATTCATGAGTGGGTTTAAAGAGTGGAAGACAAAATAATTTTATAGTCATCCCTATCCCACAAATCCCATTCTTTCAAGGTTCCAGCTTCTCTCTCTCCCTGTCTCCCTCTCTCCTGCTCTCCCACTGTCTCTCTGATCACATTCATCTATCCATACAACAGATATTTCTTGAGCATCTGCCATAATCTGAGTACTGTTCTAGATGTGGAGATACAGTGAAAGCCAAAAATCAAGAAGGTAGTTCTACTGTCATGGATCTTACATTATAGTAGGAGAGACAATAACAGACAAGATCATTCTGATAATAAGTACTATGAAGATACTTTAACAATGAGGGACTGTGAAGAGGAAGAGGGGAGCTACTTTATAATTTATAGTCAGAAAAGCCCTTTCTGTGAGGAAAGTAGCATGTGAAATGAGACCTAAATGACTAGAAGGATCTAGCCTTTCAAAAACCTGATGTAAAGGCCTTGAAGGCAAAGTAAATAGCTAGTTAAAAGTCCCTAAGATAGGAGCAAGCTTTGTGTGTATCAAAATGAAGCCAATGCAGACAAAACATGGTGAGCAAAGAGAAGGACATTTAGATAGATACGTTGGGAAACACTGGAGGACTTTAAAAAAGCCAGCTTGAAAGATTACTCAGGCTATTCTATGGACAATAGGGGTGCAAAGTAACATCAGGAAGACTAGGAGGCAATTATAGTTGTCTAGACATGGCATGGTGGTGTCTTGGACTAGGATAGAAGCAGTGGAGAAATAAGTGGTTGAATAAAGGATATATTTTGAAGGTGGAATCAAAGGACTTCATGGTTTGGCTACCAAAGATGCAAACACTGGTTTATCAAATGATCCTGTGGATTTACTCAGTGGCTTCTTCTCTGATAATCAGGGTACTAAATTCATAGATTACTGACACTTAACACACAGCTCCTGATGAAGGGGTGAATTTAGGTGGTCATGCTTGGTGCCAGTTGACTCCACTATCCCTAGACACAACTGGCCAAGAGTGGATATATAACACACTGTAGTTTCTGTCTCTCTAGAAATTAGAATTAGAACTCTGAGAAACTAAGTCAGTGATGAGGACAGTAGCTAAAAGGTCACATGTTTTCAGGCAGTGGGGCCTCCATTTTAAGTCGTATTCTATAACCTAAATCTATCTCCTCTATTCTAACCCCTCAGCCACTGCTCTAATTTAGAGCTTCTCACTCCTCGTCAGAATTACTAGTCTCCTAACTGGTCTCTTTACCTTCTTCTATTTCAATATCCACGCTCCTACTAGAGTGAGATTTCTAAAGTGCAAGTCTTTTTGAGTACTGGTAATAATGCAAAATGTTTCTGGCCATGACAAAGCAAATGATTCCTGCTCCTGATGATGCAAATTAATTTTGCCTGGTAGAAAATACACATTTATGAAAGTCAAATCCTCATCTGAACCAGTTTTAGTATCTTACTGGCCCCCTCATTAATTAGTGAGTTTTAATATGTGTTTATGTTTGTATAAGACTCACGATTTTACCTTTTTAAAAATTATTCCTTAACAAGGGCGCCTGGATGGCTCAGTGGGTTAAGCCTCTGCCTAGGCTCAGGTCATGATCTCAGGCTCTTGGGATCAAGCCCCCATCTGGCTCTGCTCAGCAGGGAGCCTGCTTCCTCCTTCCTCTCTCTCTGCCTGCCTCTCTGCCTACTTGTGATCACTCTCTCTCTCCGTCAAATAAATAAATAAAATCTTTAAAAAAATTATTCCTTAACATAAATAACAGGAAGTAACCTAAGCTTGCTGAAGACAAAAATGAGACTATATGAAAGGACAGAAAGATGTGCCATGAGCCCAAGGCAGGAATCAAGCTGACCCTCAGAAGAGAACCCACTGCTAGAAGGTCACCCAAGAAGTTGGGGAGTAGTCTCTTTGTGTCTAGACTTGGCTCCTCTCTTTGCAACAGATTGATCCTTCTCAGCAAACTGGTTTTCTTTGCTACTTAGGCCATTTAGCAAGTAAAAGATAGTCACAACTCTCAGATTTCCATTGTAAGCCTAGCCATGAGTAAGGGTGTAGTTCTCCCCCAATTACAAGGGATAATAATCTTAGGGAAGAGATTCTAATTGGCCTAGTTTGGGTTAAGTCCCTACCCTGGACCACTTTAACTGTACAAGCATATAGCTTTTCATTAATCTCCCTACTGGTAGTCCTAGCCCTCTCCACTTCACCCCAGAATTTTATTTCTAAAATTCAAATGTGATTTGTCATTCCTCCCACTGCATAAAGCCCTTCCGTGTCTTTCCACTGCTTACAGGATGAGCCCCGACTCTTTAGTATATCATAGGCGGCTCTTCATCACATGCCAGACCATCTCTGCTGTGCTCTCTCCATGGTACCCCACATTTCAATCATACCAGTTATTTTGCCCCTCTGTTCCTTTGTACATGCTGATGCCCAACCCTTTACCTCTCACTCATTCTTCAAAACTCAGCTCACACCACTTCTGTGAAGCCTGAGGATGCATTACACAGCATGACATTTAGCTGCTTCCTTGACTTTGACCTAACAACTCTGAGTGGTAGTGTCTTAGTCTCTAACTCTTCCATGGGGCATGGAAACCAGTGAACTTCTAGTAACTATCTACTGAATGACTGCCTGCCTCAGCCCCCCGCCCCCCGCCACTTTGGGTGGAAGGAGACAGCAGAATTCCCAATGTCCCCATACATCCGGCCTGCCATGAGAAGAGCATGCATTCTCTTGAAGAAAAAAATTTTCATGACACTTGTTAAAGATGGTAAAGTAGACCTTAAGGGGCATCACAATTGGTATGGGACCACTGCAATGGGGTCTTATAGTGCTCTAGAGATTTAGCTCAACTCAAACACCCTCAAGGACAGTGGGGATTGATGGGGTTTTGGAATATAGGTGAGGTTCGGTGGGCTGAAGTCCTGACCCAACGACCAAGAAAGCTTTTTTTTTTTTTTAAAGATTTTATTTATTTATTTGACAGAGAGAGATCACAAGTAGATGGAGAGGCAAGCAGAGAGAGAGAGAGAGGAGGAAGCAGGCTTCTTGCTGAGCAGAGAGCCCGATGTGGGACTCGATCCCAGGACCCTGAGATCATGACCCGAGCCGAAGGCAGCGGCCTAACCCACTGAGCCACCCAGGCGCCCCCCCAAGAAAGAATTCTTGAGATGTCTTTGGTGCAAAATGGTGGTTCATTAAAGCAGGAGGACAGGACCTGTGGGCAGAAAGAGCTGCTGTCCCGGGATCTTGGGGAGGGGCTGATTATATATTCAGGGGTTGGGGGACAGAAGGAAAAGGGAGGTTTCAAAAGAACTTTCATATGCTAAAGAGGACCGACCTATAAGATACCTACAAAATACCAGGGGTCTTGCCACTGTCAAGTTAATGTTGTTTTCCCCTCTAGCAAGGTATTAACATTTAGTTGGGAAATCCCTGAAGAACGTCAAAAGTGTCCCACCCAGAAGTTGGGGGTGGGGGGAGGTTTCAAGGGGTCAACTTGTGCTTTGTCTTCAGCTAGCCCTCTGCTCCCTCATCAGGGATTTCTAGCCAAGGAGCACAGTAGGGGGCAGTGGATGCAAAACTGCAGTCTTTAGTCTGCGCAGGCAGCTATAATGAAATACCACTTAATAAGCAACAAACATTTATTACAGTGCTGGAGGCTAGAAATCCAAGATCAGAGTACCAGTGAGTAAGGGACAGGTAGGGCTAGGTAGGGAGAGATAGGGGGCTGTGTGATCAGGCTCACAGAAATCCCCAAAATGTGGAATTGTGGGGAAACCAGAGATAAGGGAACAAACTGGATCACCTGCCCTAGGTGTGAGGGATGGGTGTCATTTTTTATGACAATCACCTGAGACCAACAAAGAATAACCAGACCCTAAAAATGAAGTAAGCCATTTCAAGGTGTTATCACTAGGCCTTGCTCAATGGTGATATCAGTAGAATGTTAAAAGGATTTAAGTTCCAGCTTTGCGCAGTGGCAGTATCGTAGCCAATGAGGTTTATCCGAGGCGCGATTATTGCTAATTGAAAAGGATTTAAGTTCCCCGGTTAGCTTTCTATAGAAAACCAACCCTGGCAACCCTGTTGGGACCTCTCTCACTCTTGAGAACTTTTTCAGATTCTTCACTTAATAAACTTCTATCCATTTACTCACTCTCCGTTGTCCCGGAGATTCATTCTTCCACTCCTGGGACAAGAACCCAGCTCTGCCACTTCATCAGCAAGGATGGGTGAGAGCTCCCTTCTGGGCAGCAGACTTCCCCTTGTAATCTCACCTGGAGAATTTGACTTGGGACCTCTGAGAGATCTCTTCCGTAAGAGCACTAATCCAATTCACGAGAGCTCCAACCTCGAGAGGCAATCACTTCATAAAGTCCCCACCCACCTACTAATACCATAGCGTTTGGGAGTATTTCAATGTGTGGATTTCTAAAAGACACATTCAAACCACAGATGGTCTTAATAATTATTGCTAAAGGCAGGTCAAGCTGTTAAGATATGGAGGGTGGTCAGATACCAAAGGTGGGGGATTCTCACTAAATTAGTATTCTTGCTCAAATTGGATTCTCCAGGGAAGCCCAAGGTCAGGCCTCGTCCAGCAGGGAATTCAGAAGAGCCTAAGGTTTTGGTCAAAAGAGAGAAATCTTTGTCAGTTCCGGGTTTTACCAGGACTTCTTAATCCTGGTGATGCACGGAATACTTTTAAAAATATTAAAACCTGGGCGCCACCCAAGGACCACTACACTCCCACCCCGGAGATCCTGATTCAGCCCATCTCTGCCGAGGTCAAGCCTTGGTTTTGTTGCTGTATTTCGAGTTTCTGTTTTCCCTAAGAAGTTCTGCTGGGGTGTCAGGGTTGAGAACTGCTGCTTTACGAGAAGGTGGGACGGATATATACCTATCTTTAATGCCACTAGGCCGGCGCCTACGTCCCTTGAGCTCTCGGTACCGCAGCCGTGCTTGCGGCGCACCACCCCAAAGGGGCGGGGCAGGGGCCGCAGAAGGCGGGGCTGCGGCCGAAGCCTCGCGGCTCCGGTCGCCGGAAAGCACTGCGCGTGACTCGCGGCACCCATCGCAGTGAGCAGCTTGGGAGGTGGGCAAGCACGGCCGGCCCAGAGGACCGAACCAACGCGCCGTCCGGAGGGGCGGCTGGAGGGAAAGCCAGATCGGACCATCGGCTCCGCGGCTGCAGGGGGGCCCGGACATTACCAACCCGGCCGGAGAGGAGGGGGGCGCCGGCCTGTCCCAGCTGCAGCACTACCCCAGGAGGGCGCGAGACGCGGCCGCCGGCGCCGCAGCCGCCGCCAGCACCCTCGCCGCCGGCACGGTAGGCTCACGCTGAGGCGAGAAACGAGGTAGGGACGCCTCTTTGGGGTTGGCGGGGTCCGGAAGACCCACTGCTCTCACGTTCCAAAGGATCCCTTAGGAGAAAGCCCTCCGTGCCCCCGCCCTTCCCCTCAACCCTGTAGGTGGCCCTTCATCCCCACCCTCCCGGTCCGCTCCCACCCTCTGGACCGACCTCCTCCTGACCTTACAGTTCTACCATCCGCTGAACCCTCAAGCACCAAGGACCAAACATCCCTTTGGGCGTCACCTCAGATCCAGCCCAACCGTCTCCTCAGACTGTCCCTGCGGTGACACCCCTCAGCTGACTCGCGCCCAGCTGTATCGTTGTATCCACATCTCCTTTGCGGGCCCTGAGAGAGCGCAGCGGCCCAGCAGCCAGCCCCGTGACCGTGGCGGGGGCTTCCGCACAGCCAGTCCCAGCCAGGCCGTCGGTGCCCTCTGCCCCTTTGGCCCCTGGTTCCGGAGTTGGTATCTGCCTGAGTCAGGCTAAGATCTTTCTCTCGCTCTCACCTTAGGAAAACGTTTGGCCTGACATTTTGCCGGTTTCCCACCCATGCATTTACCTGCTGCGAAGGGCACGGTGATCCCGTGCCCGGAGCTGGTTTGGGACCGTCGGGCTGGCCCAGCAGACGCCAGGGGACTGCCCTGGGGGCAAAGAACATACAGTATTCTTTTGTATCTCCAGCGCCCCAGCTCCAGTACCTGACATGTTTGCACCCAGTAATATTTGACGGGTGGATAAATGAATGGATGACCCCAATGTAGAAGGTGTAAGGCAGAGTGCTTTGGTGGGAAAGGTGTCTCTAGTTAACATGGGGGGGGTGTATCTGGAGGGTTACTTGTGATGCTCATGTGGCAAGCCAACAACGGAATATGTTCAGTCTTATAATTCACACATCTGACTTCATTCAGGTAGGACCTTCTACGTATCAGCTGTTTTCCACTAATGTTCTAAAAAGGGGGCGGGGGTGCTGCAGAAATTCTTATTGGTAAGTGCCTTAGAGGCTGCCCAGATAATCTTGAAAGAGCTTTGCCCAAGTGACCTGCTCCTCTTGCCCTAGAGGCAAACTGCTCCCTCTGGGGAAGAATTCTGGAGGTCAGCCACAGCCTTTAACACTGACTCAGTGTAGCCAGTCAGCTAGTGTTCAGGACAGGTTGAGGAATAAAAGTCCTCATTGATTTTACTCTTTAGCTCCTGGATACCCCCACCCACACCCCTCAGAGACTGGAGTGGTAGACCTCCCAGGCAGGCCTACTGTGATAGATATCAAAGATTCCTAAATACTGCTGTAGTATGATCAGGCCATATTGAGCCATTTATAGCTCAGTAGACCAGAGTCAGACAGGGATTACCACTATGTGAACAGTGTCAGTAATAAACGAGAATGTGAACCTTTTTAAAGATGCGTTCTCAAAGAATAGCCTGAAATCTGTTTTTGTTGATTCTTAGGAGGATAACCTGAACAGATTCAGATTCCTGAAGGTGGGACAGGGTTCAGAGACCTGTTTTAGCCCAGGTTCTGTGGGGAAGTAGGTGATACTGCAGTCATGAAATAATGGCTGGGAAGCTGTAGGCGCTGATAAGCTGACAAGTAGTTGCTTGACCAGTAGTGGCCTTGTTTTAACTCTGGGGTTCAGAGTATTAGTAAGTACAAATAATGATTGGAGTTTCTTAGGAGGCAGTGGTATGGCTTTGTGGAAGGAAGAGAGATCCCACCACTATTCCTGTATTCTGTTACCTGTGCCCCTCCTGCTATAAGTGCCATAGGATACTAACCACTTTTGTTTCTCTTCCACTTCGAGCCAGGTCAAAATCTGATTTCCCCTGATTTTAAGTGCTGAAAGTCGCTTTTCCAGGCCAGGCCAGCCTAACGGGAAGCTGAGTATGTTCTCACCCATTTCTAGCTTTGATTTATCCTTCTTCACTTTTTTTTTTTTTCTTCACCCTCTGATCTGTCTTTATAAAGTAAGTCCTGGACCATAGATACCCAAACCAGGGAGGGGCTCCTGAGATGGAGTCCACATGAGCATTGCATGTGGAGATCAATATGTTTTTTTGGTGGGGGAAGTGGAACCAATTTTTAAGGAGCTTTTTTACTTTAACCTGTCTAGACTCCCTATCAAGTAGGACCTCAGGGAGCCCTGAACACTCTGGGTTATTTTATTGATTTTCTTTTCAACTTCTAGTACTTCATAGTGTTGCCAGGTAAAATACAAGATGCCAAGTTAAATTTGAATTTCAGATAAACAACAGGGTGTCCTGTATTTTTGTTTGCTAAATCTGGCAACCCTAGTTCATGGGAAGGCTTATGCATTCTAATTTTCTCTCTGCAAACTTAGGACAATAACTCACCCTTCTCTTCTGTTACTCATACACAATGATTGAGCACCCTATTAAAAGTCACTTGACTGGGGTGGCTCATGACACATTAGGGTAAGGGCAAGCTCTGTGAAGGTAGTCTGATTGATCAGTGTTTGGGTTACCCAGAAAACACCCACTCAGACACTGGCATACAATATTATAGTACCTGTCAAAGAATCTGTCATGGAAAATGAACATATTATTTTGAGTGGCCAGATATCAACATGGCTCTAAGAGTGATGGCCAGGAATGGAGATGAGAGTGGGATGGGGGTGGGTAGATTCTAACAAAAAAGTACAACACATAGCAGAACCTCCTGTACCACATTAACTCTCTCTTTTTTTCTAATTGTGGTGACATATGTATAACATAAAGTCTACCATTCTAACCATTCTTTTTAAAATCATTTTTTCATCATAATTATACTTTTGAATTCCCATTTCCTATTTCCCCCATTCCCTCACCCACCTCCATTCTGGTAACCATAAGTTTGTTCTCCCTTGTTAAGAGTCTGGGGGTTCCTGGGTGGTTCACTCAGTTAAGCATCCAACTCATATTTGGGCTCAGGTGGTGATGAGATTGAGCCCTGTGTGAGGCCCCATGCTAGACATGGAGTAGGCTTAGGATTCTCTCTCTTCCTCTCCCTCTGCCCCTCCCCACTCTCTTAAAAAAAAAAAAAAAAAGTCTGTTTCTTAGTTTGTCTCTCTTTCTTCCCCCTTTGCTTATTTGTTTCATTTCTTAACTTCCACATGTGATTGACATCATATGATATTTGTCTTTCTCTGACTGACTTATTTTGCTTAGTGTTATATTCTCTAGCTCTATCCTTGTTGTTGTAAATGACAAGATTTCATTCTTTTTTATGACTGAATAATATCCTGTAATATATATATTCTGTATTTTATACACACACACACACACACACACACACACTCACACACACACACACACACACACACATGTCTTCTTTGTCCATTCATCTATCGATGGACACTTATGCTGCTTCCATAGTTTGGCTACTGTAAATAATGCTGCAGTAAACATAGGAATGCATGCATCCCTTCAAATTAGTGTTTTTGCTTTTTTCTGGGGGTGGGGGGAAATACCCAGTAGTACAATTACTGGATCATAGGGTAGTTCTATTTTTAATTTTTTGAGGAAACGCCATGCTGTTTTCCTTAGTGGTTGCACCAGTTTGCATTCTCTCCAGTAGTGCAGAGGGGGTTCCTTTTTCTCCACATCCTTGTCAACACTTGTTTCTTGTGTTGTTGATTTTAGCCATTCTGACAGGTGTGAGGCAGTGTCTCATTGTGGTTTTGGTTTGCATTTCCCTGATGGTGAGTGATGTTGAGCATCTTTTCATGTGTCTTTTGGCCATCTGGATGTCTTCTTTGGAGAAATTTTAACCATTCTGAAGTATACAGTTCAGTGGCATTCAGTATATTCACATTGTTATCCATACATCACCACCATCCATCTACAAAAGTTTTTCATCTTCTCAAACTGAAACTCCATACCTATTAAACAATAACTCTCATTCCCTCTTCCCCAGACCCCCTGGTAACTACCATTCTGCTTTCTCTCCTCTATGAATTTGACTACTCTAGATTACTGTATGAATTTGACCACTGTAAGTTAAATCATATTTATCTGCAACTGGTTTATTTCATTTCACATAATGTCTTAAGGGTTCATCCATTTTGCAGCTTGTATCTGAATTTCCTTCCTTTTTAAGGAAGAGGCAGGGAGAGAGAAAGCACAAGGTGGGGGGGAGGCAGAGGGAGAAGGAGAAGCAGACTCCCCACTGAGCTGGGAGCCCAGCATGGGGCTTGATCCCAAGACCTGGAGATCATAACCTGAGCCAAAGGCAGACTCTTAACCGTCTGAGCCACCCAGGTGCCCCATCTTTGCCCATTTTTTAATTGGGTTACATATCTTTTTATTATTGAGTTATGTGAGTTCTTCATATATTCTGGATAGAAGTCCCTTACCAGATATATGATAGACAATATCTCCCCTTCTGTGGGTTGCCTTTTCACTCTGTTGATTGACCTTTGATGCACAAAGGTTTAAATTTTGGTGAAAACCAGTTTATTTGTTTTTCTTTTTGTTGCCTGTGGTTTTGGTGCAGTGTTGGCAATAAAAAAATCATTGCCAAATTCAGTGTCATGAAGTTTTCCCCCTATGTTTTTTTCTGTTTTTTATAGTCTTATGTCTGTGGTTAAGTCTTTGATCCATTTTGAGTTAATTTTTGTATATAGTGTAAGACAAAAGCCCAGCTTCATTCTTTGCGCTATGGATATCAGTTTTCCCAACACCGTTTATTGAAAAGACTGTCCTTTCCCCCATTGAATAGTCTTGGCATTCTTGTCAAAAATCATCAACCAGATTTGCCAGAGTTTATTTCTGGGCTCTGTATTTAATTCCATTGGTCTATATTTCTGGTTTTTTTTTTTTAAGATTTTTCTTCTTTATTTGTCAGAGAGAGAGGGAGAGAGAGAGAGAGCACAGGCAGACAGAATGGCAGGCAGAGGCAGAGGGAGAAGCAGGCTCCCCTCCAAGCAAGGAGCCCGATGTGGGACTCGATCTTAGGACGCTGGGATCATGACCTGAGCCGAAGGCAGCTGCTTAACCAACTGAGCCACCCAGGCGTCCCTATATTTCTGTATTTATACCAATACCACACTCTTCTGGTTACTGTAGCTTTTTAGAAAGTTTTGAAATTAGGAAAGAGAAGCCTTCTGGCTTTATTCTTCTGTTTCAAGATTGTTTTGCTATTCAGGAACCCTTGAGATTACATATGAATTTTGGGATGGATTTCTTCATCGCTGCAAAAAATATTGTTAGGATTTTGAAAATGACTGCATTGAATCTGCAGGTTGCTTTGGGTAGTACTTACTTTTTTTTTAGTTAATGTGGAAAGAACACTTAACAATATATCGTTGGCTGTAGGTACATTGTTGTACTGCAGATCTCTAGAGCTTATTCATCTTACTTGACTGGAACTTTATATCCATTGAACAGCAATTCCCCATTTCCCTCTCCTCCAGCCCCTGGCAACTACCATTTCACTCTTTGATTCATTAATTTGCCTATTGTAGATACCTCATATAAGTGACACCAGGTAA